GGTGCTTGTGTAAGTAGATAGATGGTGCTTGTGTAAGTAGATAGATGGTGCTTGTGTAAGTAGATAGATGGTGCTTGTGTAAGTAGATAGATGGTGCTTGTGTAAGTAGATAGATGGTGCTTGTGTAAGTAGATAGATGGTGCTTGTGTAAGTAGATAGATGGTGCTTGTGTAAGTAGATAGATGGTGCTTGTGTAAGTAGATAGATGGTGCTTGTGTAAGTAGATAGATGGTGCTTGTGTAAGTAGATAGATGGTGCTTGTGTAAGTAGATAGATGGTGCTTGTGTAAGTAGATAGATGGTGCTTGTGTAAGTAGATAGATGGTGCTTGTGTAAGTAGATAGATGGTGCTTGTGTAAGTAGATAGATGGTGCTTGTGTAAGTAGATAGATGGTGCTTGTGTAAGTAGATAGATGGTGCTTGTGTAAGTAGATAGATGGTGCTTGTGTAAGTAGATAGATGGTGCTTGTGTAAGTAGATAGATGGTGCTTGTGTAAGTAGATAGATGGTGCTTGTGTAAGTAGATAGATGGTGCTTGTGTAAGTAGATAGATGGTGCTTGTGTAAGTAGATAGATGGTGCTTGTGTAAGTAGATAGATGGTGCTTGTGTAAGTAGATAGATGGTGCTTGTGTAAGTAGATAGATGGTGCTTGTGTAAGTAGATAGATGGTGCTTGTGTAAGTAGATAGATGGTGCTTGTGTAAGTAGATAGATGGTGCTTGTGTAAGTAGATAGATGGTGCTTGTGTAAGTAGATAGATGGTGCTTGTGTAAGTAGATAGATGGTGCTTGTGTAAGTAGATAGATGGTGCTTGTGTAAGTAGATAGATGGTGCTTGTGTAAGTAGATAGATGGTGCTTGTGTAAGTAGATAGATGGTGCTTGTGTAAGTAGATAGATGGTGCTTGTGTAAGTAGATAGATGGTGCTTGTGTAAGTAGATAGATGGTGCTTGTGTAAGTAGATAGATGGTGCTTGTGTAAGTAGATAGATGGTGCTTGTGTAAGTAGATAGATGGTGCTTGTGTAAGTAGATAGATGGTGCTTGTGTAAGTAGATAGATGGTGCTTGTGTAAGTAGATAGATGGTGCTTGTGTAAGTAGATAGATGGTGCTTGTGTAAGTAGATAGATGGTGCTTGTGTAAGTAGATAGATGGTGCTTGTGTAAGTAGATAGATGGTGCTTGTGTAAGTAGATAGATGGTGCTTGTGTAAGTAGATAGATGGTGCTTGTGTAAGTAGATAGATGGTGCTTGTGTAAGTAGATAGATGGTGCTTGTGTAAGTAGATAGATGGTGCTTGTGTAAGTAGATAGATGGTGCTTGTGTAAGTAGATAGATGGTGCTTGTGTAAGTAGATAGATGGTGCTTGTGTAAGTAGATAGATGGTGCTTGTGTAAGTAGATAGATGGTGCTTGTGTAAGTAGATAGATGGTGCTTGTGTAAGTAGATAGATGGTGCTTGTGTAAGTAGATAGATGGTGCTTGTGTAAGTAGATAGATGGTGCTTGTGTAAGTAGATAGATGGTGCTTGTGTAAGTAGATAGATGGTGCTTGTGTAAGTAGATAGATGGTGCTTGTGTAAGTAGATAGATGGTGCTTGTGTAAGTAGATAGATGGTGCTTGTGTAAGTAGATAGATGGTGCTTGTGTAAGTAGATAGATGGTGCTTGTGTAAGTAGATAGATGGTGCTTGTGTAAGTAGATAGATGGTGCTTGTGTAAGTAGATAGATGGTGCTTGTGTAAGTAGATAGATGGTGCTTGTGTAAGTAGATAGATGGTGCTTGTGTAAGTAGATAGATGGTGCTTGTGTAAGTAGATAGATGGTGCTTGTGTAAGTAGATAGATGGTGCTTGTGTAAGTAGATAGATGGTGCTTGTGTAAGTAGATAGATGGTGCTTGTGTAAGTAGATAGATGGTGCTTGTGTAAGTAGATAGATGGTGCTTGTGTAAGTAGATAGATGGTGCTTGTGTAAGTAGATAGATGGTGCTTGTGTAAGTAGATAGATGGTGCTTGTGTAAGTAGATAGATGGTGCTTGTGTAAGTAGATAGATGGTGCTTGTGTAAGTAGATAGATGGTGCTTGTGTAAGTAGATAGATGGTGCTTGTGTAAGTAGATAGATGGTGCTTGTGTAAGTAGATAGATGGTGCTTGTGTAAGTAGATAGATGGTGCTTGTGTAAGTAGATAGATGGTGCTTGTGTAAGTAGATAGATGGTGCTTGTGTAAGTAGATAGATGGTGCTTGTGTAAGTAGATAGATGGTGCTTGTGTAAGTAGATAGATGGTGCTTGTGTAAGTAGATAGATGGTGCTTGTGTAAGTAGATAGATGGTGCTTGTGTAAGTAGATAGATGGTGCTTGTGTAAGTAGATAGATGGTGCTTGTGTAAGTAGATAGATGGTGCTTGTGTAAGTAGATAGATGGTGCTTGTGTAAGTAGATAGATGGTGCTTGTGTAAGTAGATAGATGGTGCTTGTGTAAGTAGATAGATGGTGCTTGTGTAAGTAGATAGATGGTGCTTGTGTAAGTAGATAGATGGTGCTTGTGTAAGTAGATAGATGGTGCTTGTGTAAGTAGATAGATGGTGCTTGTGTAAGTAGATAGATGGTGCTTGTGTAAGTAGATAGATGGTGCTTGTGTAAGTAGATAGATGGTGCTTGTGTAAGTAGATAGATGGTGCTTGTGTAAGTAGATAGATGGTGCTTGTGTAAGTAGATAGATGGTGCTTGTGTAAGTAGATAGATGGTGCTTGTGTAAGTAGATAGATGGTGCTTGTGTAAGTAGATAGATGGTGCTTGTGTAAGTAGATAGATGGTGCTTGTGTAAGTAGATAGATGGTGCTTGTGTAAGTAGATAGATGGTGCTTGTGTAAGTAGATAGATGGTGCTTGTGTAAGTAGATAGATGGTGCTTGTGTAAGTAGATAGATGGTGCTTGTGTAAGTAGATAGATGGTGCTTGTGTAAGTAGATAGATGGTGCTTGTGTAAGTAGATAGATGGTGCTTGTGTAAGTAGATAGATGGTGCTTGTGTAAGTAGATAGATGGTGCTTGTGTAAGTAGATAGATGGTGCTTGTGTAAGTAGATAGATGGTGCTTGTGTAAGTAGATAGATGGTGCTTGTGTAAGTAGATAGATGGTGCTTGTGTAAGTAGATAGATGGTGCTTGTGTAAGTAGATAGATGGTGCTTGTGTAAGTAGATAGATGGTGCTTGTGTAAGTAGATAGATGGTGCTTGTGTAAGTAGATAGATGGTGCTTGTGTAAGTAGATAGATGGTGCTTGTGTAAGTAGATAGATGGTGCTTGTGTAAGTAGATAGATGGTGCTTGTGTAAGTAGATAGATGGTGCTTGTGTAAGTAGATAGATGGTGCTTGTGTAAGTAGATAGATGGTGCTTGTGTAAGTAGATAGATGGTGCTTGTGTAAGTAGATAGATGGTGCTTGTGTAAGTAGATAGATGGTGCTTGTGTAAGTAGATAGATGGTGCTTGTGTAAGTAGATAGATGGTGCTTGTGTAAGTAGATAGATGGTGCTTGTGTAAGTAGATAGATGGTGCTTGTGTAAGTAGATAGATGGTGCTTGTGTAAGTAGATAGATGGTGCTTGTGTAAGTAGATTAAGCCAGCTAAGCGTCAATCCACATGGACATTAGTTTTCCCTTCAAAGTTTTTATTAGGTAGTTTAGCAACAGTCGTTGCTACGGGAGGCGTTTTAGTAGACGGACAGGAGTTAGCTGCAAGCATCACGTGAACGACACCAGGCCAGCAGCATAATCAGGCAGTCTAAGCTAGCCGTTAGTAGTACCGACGAAGAGACTGGATAGCAAGAATTCGCAGAGCAGGACCTGCATGGACCTGTTTTGCACGCAAGCTCCCCAAAGGTTACCTTGCCCGGGACACTCGTCCTCCCTCGCAGCACTTCTTGTGGGGCAGGGGGGGGGGGGGGGGTGTGTGACGTAACCGTTGTGATTCGAAGAATGGTTGCTGAAGGCTCGGCGGTGCCAGCGTGGATGGCGGTGCTCGCTCGTACCCACGATGTTGCGAGATCGAACGCACCAGTGGGAAGCGAGCAAGATCTAATGAACGACTCCCCACTCCCCCGTTGCCTAAATCCGAAGCCAGATGCGTATGAGATTCGCACACTAGCTGAATCCGCTCCATCAGACTTGAGAAATCCTCCGTCCAATCCTGACCTCCTTTCCTGAACGAGCGCACTGTTGAAACGAAACGCCATCGAGAGTATAATTGGTGCATAGAGATACAGGTCTACTGAGTTCCCCATACAGTTTCCCCATACGCAGCTATTAAATGCCCTATCAGGACCAAAGGTTCCACGTCTACTCTAATACTACTACTAACAGGCTTGCCAGATACCTCAAAAATGCGCTCATAGATTCAGCTTGAGGAGACCACATACCAGCTACTAAGAGTCACCTCCATCCCACGCCATTGCTCGCCGGCTAGTATTACTATTATCTCAGGAGCACAAACCTTTGCAGAAGGGCAGAATCTGATGTCGTCATTCATTGCCAATGCCACTGGCAGGAGCGGCCAATGCAGCACCAGAATGACTCATCAAGACTCTGCGCGGCCGCATCGTGCTGATGATTGTGGTGGAGCGGGAGGCAGTGACTGCGGCGCAAGCAGGCTGGTGGTCGGCACAGCGGCAAGCATGGCCCCGCGCAGCCCGTGGGCGAAGCAGCTCGTCAGAGAGCACACGTGGGAGCTTGGGAAACAGCCTGTGTTCCAGCGATCCCAGAGCTCTGATTGGACGGCCAAGGCACACGGGAAGCTGAAGCTGCCAGCTTTCTGTGATACATCTGCCCCAGAGTCCAACCAAGTGAAAGAGACCAAGCCAGTGGATCGAAAGCGGCGGAACAGGGATTCTGATGATGCTGATGTCGCCGTTGGCGGTTGCATGAATGATGCGGTGATGGGACGCTCCAAACGTTTAAGACGCCAAAAGAATGGTTGCATGAAGGATGATGATGATGATGATGCCGCCATAATAATGGGACTTTCCAGCGGCAATTCAAGGCGCACTGCTGCTGTCAGTCCTGCAGAACCCCCCGCCCAGCAGAGTGGTAGCTGCTGCTACACAGGGCGAGTGCGGAGGGATGCAGATGGAAGCGGGAAAAGCAGCAACAGCTTTTCAACTCGCCAGCCCGATGTTAGCTGCCTGGCAGAGGGGCGCGCAGCCCTGCCGGACCTTCGCTACCACAGCAGCCGTGGCACCGCCAGTGCACGCAGTATCTCGCCTGGGTCCAGCTGGGCGGCATACTTCCACGCCAAGAACTCGCAAGGTCTGCCCCTCCCCTTGCCGTTGCTGCACTCGCAAGGGCTGTCCGTTTTGCCCTCGCCTCTCCCTCTGCTTGTCGCAGAGCTTCTGGAGACGCCCCAGTCAGTCAACCATGGTGGTGAATGTGGAGGGGTGGGCCGGAGCACAGCGGTGGAAGCGGCATCAGCTGGAGCAAGATTGAGCCGACCAGCGTCTGAGATGCGAGACACGAGTCGGGGTGGTGCGTTCATCGTTCCTGACTTGAACCTGCCTGCTGCTGGTGCTGACGGTGCTGATGCTGGTGGCACTGCCGCTTGTGATGCTGCTGCTGGTGCTGCGGGTGGTGGTGGTGGTGGTGGTGCTGGTGGTGGTGGTGGTGGTGGTGATGTTGGTAGGCCTGCATTCACAGAGCACGAAAGGTTCCAGTCTGCGTGTGAAAGCAACGAAATGAATGGCATGGCATCGGCACATGCGGTGGTGGCATCTGAGGTGCAGTCCTGTGAATCTAAAGGCGCAGCTTTGGGTGTGTCACATGGCTATCAGGCCATTCAGACGCAGCAACGGCAGCAGGAACAACAGCAGCAATGGCTGCAGCATCAACAATGGCGGCATGAGCAGCACCAGCAACAACGAGTGCAGCAGCAGCAGCAGAAGCAGCAGCAGCAGCAGAGACAGCAGCAGCAGCAGAGACAGCAACAATGGCAGCACAAGCAGCAGCAACAACAATGGCACCAGCATGATCAGACGGGGGAGTGCACGCCACATCAACAAACATTTTACAGAGGCATTTTCACCATGGAGCTTAGGCAACAACTCATTAAGAAAGTCATGCTTTACAGGGCATCCAGAACTTGCCTTTCTGGCAATGATTGATCCAGTGGCTTTTTCTTCAGGCATCACCCTCCTCAACCTGTATCACTTTGTCAACCCATGCACTCAAACCCTAACCCTAAACCCTAACCCTCAAACCTGAGTGGAAGGGGTGGGAAAAGGGTTGCATGGCATGGCACTATTGCCCCACACAGTGCCAAACTGGGATTAAGTGTACACTGTGCTCTCCAGATTGGCAACCCCAACAACAGAAGCAGCATAAGGTTGGCGCCTATATCCTGTTGCAGAAAAGAGAAGCAATCCTTGTCTTGTGAATCAAAATCTCCTTAATGAGGTGTTTCCTCAGCTCCTTTTGATCCTGCTGCTGCATCTGAATGTACTGTGAACCAATCGATCTGCTTCTGTTGCTGCTCAAGGCAGCGCCCCTGGATTCACACGAACGCGTTGGCAATGTGACCAACCCATGCGCTGATGATGCGTCGCAGATGTGACCATCCAGCCCATCGCTGTCACATGCGGACTGAACGTGCCCACAATCAGCGAATGCTGTTAGGTCAGCACCATTACTAGCATCACCACCATCACCACCACCACGGCCTCTACCATCACCAGCGCCACTGGTGGCATTATCACTGGCATTATCAGCAGCAGCCGGGAGGTTCAGGTCAGGGACGACAAAGTCAGCAGCTGGGCCTGCATACGGTGGGACCGAAGCTGACGGTGCTCCAGCACTCGCCTCTGCAGCCTGCCTCCCGCCCACTGCTCCACGTTCGCCTCTGTGATTGATCGACTCGGGCGACTCTAATGATGGCCTTGAAAAGTCCAGAAGAAGAGAGAGGGGCAGGACGTGCGTGTGAAGCAGGGGCAGGGGCAGCGGCAGGGGCGGTTCTTGAGAGTGCAGGAGGGGCAGCGGCAGGGGCAGCCCTTGTGAGAGCTTGGCGTGGAAGTATGCCGCCCAGCTGGGCTGGGGAGAGGTGCTGCTTGCACGGACGGCGCCATGGCTCTTGCTGCATTGAAGCTGAGACTCTGACAGGGCTGTGTGACCCTCTGGGCAGCTAGCAGCGGGCTGTCTGGGTGTGGTAGTGATTTCTGATGAATCGCCAGCCGTTGTGAACCGCCGCCTTGACTTGCGACTGCCACTGGAGCGCCCTGTCTCCCCATCCCTGGACGAGGTGCGACCCCCATGGCCATCAGCAGCACCATCGCGCTTCCGCTTTCTCTCCACTGCCTCGTGCTCCTCCACACGCTTCACGCTGTCCTCAGGCACCACCTCCCCGCATGCGTGCTGCGTCCTCTCCGAGTCGAAGGACTCTCTTCCAATCTCCGCGTTCTGCTGATTAGAGACCTCCAGCCTCCGCACTTTAACGACCCCCGCGTGGTGCTCTCGCAGCAGCTGCCTCGCCCACGGGCTGCGCGGCGCCATGCAACAAGTAGGCTGTTCTTGAAAATAGAGGCTGACAGATGTGACCACCTGGTAGAATGCGGCAGTGCACGCAGAATATCGACGCACAGTTGACGGTCTTAGCTTGAATCCTTGAACGGCGAACTGTTTCCGCAACCAGATATTAGTGCTAGGCTTGGAATTCTGAGCGCTGGTGGTAGTAACTTAGTCAACAGATTGAGTCTCTTGTGGATGACAGCGTAAGTTTTGGAAAAGGCTCCTATACGTGGCGACCTTATTCGACTCCTCGCTGGCGCAGGAAGGGAAGGAGCTGCGGGAGCATTCCTGGTAGTAACCGCCATGACTGCTCGAATAAAATTGAGATGATGAGGAAAATACAACCCACGATTCGCAATGGATGCAAATTTCGCTCGTGCTTCCGTACAAGTGAGCGAATATCGTGACTATAGCGCGGGAGGTGATACGAGGCAGAACCCTAGTGGATAGTAGGACAAACAGTATATAATGCAGATAGTTTGCGGATTTGGCCCTGCTCTGATTGCCAATAATAGCTAAATAAAGACCGAATTCCAAAAGTAATAATAAGCCTACTGGATCTCACGTGATGGATCTCACTTGAATGTCCACTCAACCCCATACTTTACTAGAGGGTTGGCTGGCTTCGTACTGCGCCTTCCCAACACGGAAAGAACATTCCAACACCAGTACGGGATTTGGCTCACCTGAAGGAAGCCAATGGGCGTCATCGACGTGGGTTCTCTTGTTACAATTTCGAACCCTGGCATCTTCGTGCCTTTCGAGGTCAGTCGACATGCCCCTCGGCATCGCGCGTCGGACACGCCCCCCGAGTTTAAATTCGGAAATGATATCCTTCCGTTGTTACCCGCCAGCAGGGATTGATATCCACATGCTAACCACAGGCATCACCACTTGTGTCATTGTGGGAAGGGAGGAACTAAAATATCTCACAATCAAAGGTGGTGATTCGTGAATGAAAAGAATGCCGTGGAATATGACACGTGGGTATCCTATTCAATGACGGAACCAAATCTAATGATATGTTCGTTCTACGTTCCATTACCGTTCCCCCGCCCCTCCCCACATCACCGCAGCGTAGATTCCGGGCAGCGCTGTCGAAGTCGTCGGTTGGGTTGTGTTTGTGGGTTGCAAAGACGTTAAGCGTGGGTACAGTACGGTGACGGCGGAATTCATTCGGCTTGCAGTACAATGCTGGAGCAGAGGGGTACAATACGGTCAGCCACGGCGGAATTCATTCGGCTGAATTCAGCCGTGGCTGACAGCAATCCAGAAAGGCGGAATTCATTCGGCTGAGGTTTGCTACACCAGCTGGGCACGCCTGGTAATAGGTAATTCGTATCGCTTACCTCCGATATAGTGACCTGTACTCAATTATCGGAAAAGGATAGATCGATCCAAAGGTAAGTAAGCAGGATCGGGAAATTCGAATTTCCCTGCCTCGAAACCGCTGCAAAGTTCGTAGTTTTCATATCTTTCGGCAATTTTATATCAATTCGAACGGTCATGGCTAATCCTCCTGGTAATGCTGTCCCTTTCGTTTCTCTTCCGAGATTAGCGCTCCAGCGAGGGGCCGAAACGGGTACCCTTTGTAGAGGAGCGTTTACCTGAACTGATGGCGTCATTTCACATCTGTTCGACCAGACATCCCCTACTAACAGCACCAGCACATACTCATTGCGCATGTGCGTAGTCAGTTCCGTTGAAGGATTCATGTCAAATTGACCGTCCGACGTCCGGCTGTGAATCAAGATACTGCTAGAGCACTACAGCGTTGAGTCAGGCCAGGTCTGGTCAGGAAGATCCTGTTTATCAGGAAAGCTAGTAGCGGTCTGCCTAGACAGGAGCAGCCTGATATATTATCAGGGGCAGCCTTTCCTTTTTTACCGGCCTGTTTTCTCATTCAACAAGGCTGTGTCTTCTGTTTGGGGTGGTAAGTATCAAAGAACACTTAGTTGCTGCGCTTAGAAACCCTTCACCGCCCTCCAACACCCTCTCCTCTACCAAATGTATGAGCAAGTCATAATCTACCTGCTCCAGAATGCCCGTGATAGAAGGGCACCACCAGTTGTCAGCAGGCCTTCTCACAGTCGACATCAGTCAACTCGAGTAAACATTAGTCATCGCCAGTCAAGATGTAATTGAGAGTCTCAAACAGATCTTGCAAGGCCTTCTCCTCCTCACTCTCTCCCACCCCCCTGCTACCGCCCTCCAACCCTTTAAACACCTCTCTTTTGAGCACAACTGCCGTTGCACCTGCCGCCTTCATCATCCGCACGTCCTCCACAGATGAGGCACCCTGTGTGGTAACCATGTAACCAGACCATCAACAGGCATGCTTCGGTTTTAGTGCTTTCAAGGATGAACAAAGCCGAATACAAATGCACGAGCCATGGAAGGATGCTTACAAGGATTGCAATACTGGAGAGGCCTTTAGACCTTGTACTTGCAGCACACAAAAATGCAGCCTGCACTGCGCAGGTTAAGCAAAATACACACTATACCTGGCACCAAAAATTGTTACATTGTGCACGTGGTAACTGACTCACAACGAGAGCAGCAGCTCCAAAGGGCATGGAGGAGAGCAGCGACTTGGCAACGCTCTGCCTGAAGCCGGGTGCCGACACCTGTGAGGGGGCAGAGGGAACAGATGTGGGAGAGGAAACAGATGTGGGGTATGTCTCATGACTGTGAACCGACAACCCTCGCTTACACATGGGAGACAGGGGATGGCCACACAGGTGCACGGAGGCAAGACAGAGACATGCGAACGAGGGCAGGTGAAGCGATGTGTAGAAGGGCATTTGTGCCAGCCATTGAAACTAACTGCCAGCCGTCTATCAACTCACAGCCAGCCGCCTATGAACTCACTGCCAGCCGCCTATGAACTCACTGCCAGCCGCCTATGAACTCACTGCCAGCCGCCTATGAACTCACTGCCAGCCGCCTATGAACTCACTGCCAGCCGCCTATGAACTCACTGCCAGCCGCCTATGAACTCACTGCCAGCCGCCTATGAACTCACTGCCAGCCGCCTATGAACTCACTGCCAGCCGTCTATGAACTCACTGCCAGCCGCCTATGAACTCACTGCCAGCCGTATCAACTCACTGCCAGCCGTCCATCAACTCACTGCCAGCCGCCTATGAACTCACTGCCAGCCGTATCAACTCACTGCCAGCCGTCCATCAACTCACTGCCAGCCGTATGAACTCACTGCCAGCCGTCCATCAACTCACTGCCAGCCGGCTATCAACTCACTGCCAGCCGGCTATCAATTCACTGCCAGCCGCCTATCAACTCACTGCCAGCCGTCTATCAACTCACTGCCAGACGGCTATCAACTCACTGCCAGCCGTCTATCAACTCACTGCCAGCCGCCTATGAACTCGCTGCCAGCCGTCAATGAACTCACTGCCAGCCGTCAATGAACTCACTGCCAGCCGTCAATGAACTCACTGCCAGCCGTCAATGAACTCACTGCTAGCCGGCTATCAACTCACTGCCAGCCGTCTATCAAGTCACTGCCAGGCGTCAATGAACTCACTGCCAGCCGTCAATGAACTCACTGCCAGCCGTCAATGAACTCACTGCCAGCCGTCAATGAACTCACTGCCAGCCGTCAATGAACTCACTGCTAGCCGGCTATCAACTCACTGCCAGCCGTCTATCAAGTCACTGCCAGGCGTCAATGAACTCACTGCCAGCCGTCTATGAACTCACTGCCAGCCGCCTATGAACTCACTGCCAGCCGTATCAACTCACTGCCAGCCGTCCATCAACTCACTGCCAGCCGTCCATCAACTCACTGCCAGCCGTCTATGAACTCACTGCCAGCCGTATCAACTCACTGCCAGCCGTCCATCAACTCACTGCCAGCCGTATCAACTCACTGCCAGCCGTCCATCAACTCACTGCCAGCCGGCTATCAACTCACTGCCAGCCGTCTATCAACTCACTGCCAGCCGTCTATCAACTCACTGCCAGCCGTCTATCAACTCACTGCCAGCCGTCTATGAACTCACTGCCAGCCGTCTATCAACTCACAGCCAGCCGGCTATCAACTCACTGCCAGCCGTCCATCAACTCACTGCCAGCCGTCCATCAACTCACTGCCAGCCGTCAATGAACTCACTGCGAGCCCAACAGAGAGGTTGAGGCCGTAGAGGGGAATGGCGAGCGGCTCTAGTCGCTTCAATTCTTCCAGATTCACCACCTGGTGATGTTGATGGTGGTGGGGATGGAAGGGAATCGTATGAGGGGTGAGAAGAGAAACCATGAGGTGACTGTTGGGGTGATGGCTGGTGCTATCATTGTTGTGACAGTGCTCTTGATGATGCTGATGATGCTGATGGGGTTGACGATGCTGTTGTGCATAGACGATGGTTCATTCACGGTCCTAAATTTGTAAAATTGTCTGCATCGACTCACGTGCTGTACTAGCGTTGACTCAACTGCTTGACTTGCGTTGACTCACCTCTACTGCCACGTCAACTCCCAGCCCAAAGGCAAAGGCAAGCATTGGAGCAGTGGCTGCACACACATACATGCACACAGATGCACACATCACATACATATGTGTTCAGTTCAACCATCAACACACATGCACACACACATCTATGCATGCATCCATCCATACATACATTCATGCATGCATCCATGCACAAAGTGCACATGCACAAACACACATGCCGACACGCAAACACACAAAAACGAACGTACAAACACACAAGGCGATCAGGTAGCAGCAGCTGGTTCCACTGGGCTGGCAAAGCACCACAGCCAGGGGGATCATCTCATCGTGGGTCGTGACTGCATCGGCTGGGTGCTCTGGGCAGCCAGGATTGAGGCCATCAGAGTGCAAAGCATGCCAGCCAAAGAGAACCATCTCGCTGCTTTGAGTGCAGCATTGCCAAGGATTAGCTAAAAGTATCTATTAAGATCTTCAAAGATCGTAGAGGATCTTCAAAGATCGTAGAGGATCTTCAAAGATCTTAGAGGATCTTCTGTGGGGCTGTGGGGAGGTGCTGAAGAGGGTGTGGGGAGGTGGTGAGGCTGGTGTGGGGAATCACCTTTATTGAGAACCCCGTGCACTATATGAAAGGCTGCCGCCCCTGCATCTGCTGCTTCTGCCACCTGTACTCACTCACTCACTCACACACACACACACACCCTCACCTCACACACACTCCCTCACTCAAGCACACAGACACCCTCACAGTCCCTCACTCACCCGCACATGCAAACACCCTGACGCCCAAACTCCCGCACACAATCACAGTTGATCCACCCATCCATGCAGCCATCCGCACACACAAATCCCCACCGCCGCGCAGACACACGGAGTCAGTGTGTAAACAGTGTGCTCACCAACACAGAGGCATGGGAATCAGACGGGAGTTGCAACGGAAAGTGCTGATTCTTTCTCACAAGAAAATTCGGTGCCGAGAGCAGCAAGAAGAAGAAGTGGGTGGTACTGTGGCGGATGGGTTGTGGTAATAAACACCTGAATGGGATGCAGCATCCAGTCTTTAACAATAATTGGCACTCCAGGGAGGGCTGGTGGGCATGGGAGCGGAGTGGAGTGGAGACAGGTGGACAGACATAGGAAGTGTGAAAACGCTTAACGGGATGACATTTACCCATGGGGAAAAATGGGGAAACTTAAAAGTCAGAAGAATGAGAAGCATAGGAAAATGAAAGAAAGAAAAGGGGAACTGAAAGGCATGGCTTTTCATGTTTTACTTTCTTTTTTTTTAAGCATGGAAAAATCGGACACTAGCAGCACACCTCTGGATACAGCTCTGACGTCAGCAAGGCCATCGGGGGAGATCTCCTCATCACAGCACACCATCACTGTGTCCGCTCCTGAGAAGGGGTAGGGGAGAATGGGGGGCAGGAGGGGGAGGGGGGAGGGATAGGGGGTGGGGGAGTGGGGAGAGAGGTGGCTCTTTCTACTATGAGCGAAGGCCAGCACACCATCACTGTGTCCGCTCCTGGGGAAGCGGTAGGGGAGAAGAGGGGAAGGAGGGGGGGAAGGGAGAGGGGTGGGAGGGGAAGGAGGGGAGGAAGGGAGAGGGGTGGGAGGGGAAGGAGGGACGGAAGGGAGAGGGGTGGGAGGGGAAGGAGGGGGGGAAGGGAGAGGGGTGGGAGGGGAAGGATGGGGGGAAGGGAGAGGGGTCGGAGTGGGGAGAGCGGTGGCTCTTTCTACTATGAGCGAATGCCAGCAAACCATCACTGTGTCCGCTCCTGAAGGGGGAGGGGCGATGAGGGGGGAAGGGTAAGGAATCTGGAGGGGAGCGGGCTAAAGCAGGGAAGAGAATGGTGAGAGGGGAGAGCAGAAGGGCACACACATGATTAGTGTGTTTGTGTGAGGGATGTGGAACAAGGAAGCGGGAGAATCAAACTCTGAAAGACAAGGGACACGCTGTGAATTGAGTGGCACTGACTTTTTCCACCGACCCTCCCCCGTCAACCCACCCACCCATTCACCCACCAACCCCACAAGCCCAACAAACCACCCATCCCCGCACACACCGAGAGCAACGTATCGCTGGCAGCGCCTGGCAAGGCTCTCAGGGGACTCTGACCGGCGTGCGCGCGCCACCTCCACCACCAGCGCCGTGCGCCCCCACTCCGCCCCCCCTGGCCCCTCCAGGCCCCCCCCGCCCTCCGCGCCCGGGGCGCCGCGCAGCAGCAGGTCTGTGAGCTGTGCGGGCGGGTGCAGGCGCACTGCTCCCTCCAGGCGGCGGTTCACCTCGTCCTGGCCCAGCTGCTGCAGCCGCGCCTGCGGGTGCGCGGAACGGGCGCGCAGGGAGGAGGAGGTGTGGGGAAGGGGGCACGGGAAATGGGAGATGGGAGGGGGAGGTGGAGGAAGGGGAGGGGTGGGGGAGGGAGGGAAGTTGGATGGGGAGGGGAGAACGGGGTACGAGGCACAAGGCCGCGGCGCGCTGTTGATTGCTAGTAGTACTAGCCGACTCACACTTATCTGTACGGGTTTTGAGGCGCCTCGAACGAGCCTCAATCGCACCGAGTATCACCTGCACCGACTCTCACCCACCTGCACCGTAGCGTGTTTCCGGCGGATGATGCTTCCCAGCCGCGACTTGCTCCCGCCTCCTCCGTCCCCATCCTCGCCGTCAGATGCGCATCGGACGGCCAGCGACAGCTGTCGGATTCGCGGAGTCGCAGATTGCGGAACTGGGTGAAATGATGTGGACGACGCGCCGCGGAAGGAGGAGCGCGACGAGAGAGATTGGTCGGCTGCGCGGGGAATATGGCGAGCAGGGGAGGGACAAGCAGGCGAAGCCATGGGTATTGTACGGCAAATGCGGCGAGAAATGCGGTGCGTAAGCAGTCTGGCCAGTTTTTTTTGGCTAATTGTGGCGTGGCTCGAATAACCTACTCGTTTTGAAGGTCATCGTTACGGAACAATGACTTCAAAGGATTTTCCAGTATATCTGGTTTTAGCGATGCTAGTAGTTCAAATTCACAGCACAGCTATTCACGTGGTATTATATGACAAAGATTAAGTGGAAATACTACTGGCAGGTCGAACGCCATATTTACTGGATGAACACCTGAATGCCCTGGACATGAATTTATAACAGACTGTACAATAGCTCCCGGAGGAGGAGCCAAGCCCAGACTATACAATCTTGTAATCACCTGACGAGTCACACATTCGAATCACGTGTACCTGCTACCAAACTCCCTGTGAAAAGCAAGGTACCTGTCAGCATGCACCCTACCCAGAGCCTTGGTCACTTGCAGAGCCATCTGCATGTCCTCATGGGTTATTGGCCCCAGCACATGCTCCTGCTCCTGCTCGTGTTCGGCCCTTTCCCCCTCCCTCCCCTCCACCCCCCCGCTTCTGCTCACCCCATCCGTCACCTCCCCCTTGCCCCTCATCCCCCCCAAACCCTCCTCCCCCATTTTCACTCTCACCCCCTTCTCCCCCCGCTCCCCAATCGCTTTCCTGTCCCCCCTCTCCCCCCTCTCCATCTCGCCTTTCTCCCCCGCCCTCCCATTCTCCCCCCCATCAATGAGGGCCATGAGGCGGCGCAGGGGGCGCATGGCAGCCTCCTTGCACAGCAGCCGCATGTCAGCGCCCGAATACCCCTCCGTTGCCGCCACCACACCCTCTAAGTCGATCTCCTCCTCCCATTGCTTCTCCCACTCCTCCTGTCTCCTCTCTTGCTCCTTCCTCGCCTCTTCCCTTGCCCCCTCTCCTTCCTCCTCCCTCCCCGCTTCCTCCCTCTGCTTCTCATCTTCCCTCACGCCCTGATCCTCTCTCCTCCGCTCCCCGCCACACCCCCCATCGGCCTCCCCTATCCCGTGCTCCTCAATTTCCTTGCTCTGTGCAACCACGCACCAGCTGCTATCAATCCCCCGCGCCCCCATCGCATTCTGAGGCACATCAGAGCAGCCATTGGCTTGCACCGCCACCACCCCGTTAGCCCCTCTCCACTTCACCCCCACACAGTCACGACCAGCCGTTGCTCCTCCACCCTCGTTTTCCGCTGAACCATCCTTACACACCTCTGCACCACCATCGTTCCCCGCCCTGTGAGCATCTGTTTGCGTGGGCGCCTGTGTGTGCAGGCCAGTGCCCGTCCGTGCAGTCCTGTGCGGCCGTGGCAGCAGCGCCGAGAGAATGGCTCTGCAGGCGTCAGCGTCTGGTAGAGGCACCAAGATCTGGGGGGGAAGGGGGGAGGGGAGTACGAGGACTTCAGAGTCCAATCTAAGAGTGGCAGATGCAGGGCATCAGAGCCTGGTAGAGGCACCGGGGTTTGGAAGTGGGGGCGCATGAAGAGTGAGGGGAGTGGGATGGGAGGGGAGAGAGCAGACAGGGTGATGCTGTGCCATGCCGTTGAGAAAATATGGATTCGAACCGCTGCAAGCCTACTAAGAGTCTAGATCATTCTCGTAGGCACTGATGAAGGCCTGGTAGGGGATGCCCTCCAGCCGAAACATGTTTGCCTTGTTTTAGTTTTTGTTAACGAGAAGAGTTCCGGTTTCACAGACTCTCGGCTACTAGCTAGTGTTAGAATTTTACTGTTTTTTCCTACTTGCCTAAGCCTGAACCTTAGCACTGCAGCTCACTGGAAAATGTCAGAGGAGCAGACAGGGTGATGCTGTGCCATGCCAAGCCACGGTGGCAAGTACGACTCAACTCACGCGCTTCTCGAGGCGGCGCAGCATGGCAGTGTCGAGCTCCCAGGGCAGGTTGGTGGCATCGATGTGAAGGAAAGCCACACACCCACGCCGTGCCAAACCAAGCCAAGCCAAGCCAAACCAAGCCAAGCCAAACAACTCACGCGCTTCTCCAGGCGGCGCAGCATGGCAGTGTCAAGCTCCCAGGGCAGGTTGGTGGCGGCCAGCACAAACACCAGGTCCGATGAGCTGCTCAGCCCGTCCATCTGCACGCAGGTAACAGCACGGTTGAGAGCGGTGAAGGGAGGTTGGTGGCGGCCAGCACAAACACCAGGTCCGATGAGCTGCTCAGCCCGTCCATCTGCACGCAGGTAACAGCACGGTTGAGAGCGGTGAAGGGAGGTTGGTGGCGGCCAGCACAAACACCAGGTCCGATGAGCTGCTCAGCCCGTCCATCTGCACGCAGGTAACAGCACGGTTGAGAGCGGTGAAGGGAGGTTGGTGGCGGCCAGCACAAACACCAGGTCGGATGAGCTGCTCAGCCCGTCCATCTGCACGCAGGTAACAGCACGGTTGAGAGCGGTGAAGGGAGGTTGGTGGCGGCCAGCACAAACACCAGGTCGGATGAGCTGCTCAGCCCGTCCATCTGCACGCAGGTAACAGCACGGTTGAGAGCGGTGAAGGGAGGTTGGTGGCGGCCAGCACAAACACCAGGTCGGATGAGCTGCTCAGCCCGTCCATCTGCACGCAAGTAACAGCACGGTTGAGAGCGGTGAAGGGAGGTTGGTGGCGGCCAGCACAAACACCAGGTCGGATGAGCTGCTCAGCCCGTCCATCTGCACGTACAGCACAGTTCAGAGTGGTGCTGGCAGGTGAGGGGGCAGTACCGGCAGGTGAGACACAGTGCAGCGAGACCAAATTCAAGTTGGGCATGCAGTGCAGATGGTCCATCTAAGAAGGTGACTTTTGAGTCGACTCAAACGGTGGTCCATCTGGGGAGAGACAAAAGGGGTTGAGATAAACCATACTAGCGGCCCCACCCCAACTGCACACCCCCCGTTCCCCTCATCTCCCCGACCTGGATGTGCAGCTCTTTTTGAAGGAAACTGCTCGCCTCGTGTTCGTCCTCATACACTACTGGATTACCGTACAAACCATGCCCTAATCCACCCTCCCAACCCACCCTCCCCTTCCCCCACCTGCACGAGCAGCTCTGTTTTAAGTCGTCTTGAGGCCTCGTGCTCGCCGGTGCCGCCCCCCCGGTGGCTGATGAGGGCGTCCACCTCGTCCAGGAATATGGTGGAGGGGGCTCTCTGCCCTCATACCCTCACAGCCATACCCCATATTCCGCTCCCCATCCCCCACACCCCCAACCACCCCCCCTCTCCCCCAACACCTGCACGAGCAGCTCTGTCTTAAGTCGTCTTGAGGCCTCGTGTTCCCCGGTGCCGCCCCCCCGGTGGCTGATGAGAGCGTCCACCTCGTCCAGAAAGATGGTGGAGGGGGCCAGGGCACGCGCCACGTCAAACAACATTCGCACCAGCTTCTCGGAATCGCCTGGTAAGGAGGTGCAGGGGGGAGCGGGAGGGGATGCGGTGGCTGATGAGGGCGCCCACCTCGTCCAGGAAGATGGTGGAGGAAGCCAGTGCTCTCGCCACATCAAACAGCATGCGCACCAGCTTCTCAGAATCGCCTGTGTGAATGGTGGGGGAAGATGCAGGGGGGCATGGGAAAAGTGCCCTTTCATTCAACCCAGGGCACGCGCCATGTTCAACAGCTCACCACACCTCGAAGCTGCACCACCCAGGGCTCTGTGCGAGTCTCGTTTCGTATGACAGAACCAGATATCTTAACTTGGAGGTGAAAAATCCAAGTGTTTCACTGCGCCACTTGCTGACTCACCGCGCCACTTGCTGACTCACCGCGCCACTTGCTGACTCACCGCGCCACTAGCTGACTCACCGCGCCACTTGCTGACTCACCGCGCCACTTGCTGACTCACCGCGCCACTAGCTGACTCACCGCGCCACTTGCTGACTCACCGCACCACTTGCTCACTCACCGCGCCACTTGCTGTCTCACCGCGCCACTTGCTGTCTCACTGCGCCACTTGCTGTCTCACCGCGCCACTTGCTGACTCACCGCGCCACTTGCTGACTCACCGCGCCACTAGCTGACTCACCGCGCCACTTGCTGACTCACCGCACCACTTGCTCACTCACCGCGCCACTTGCTGTCTCACCGCGCCACTTGCTCACTCACCGCGCCACTTGCTGACTCACCGCGCCACTAGCTGACTCACCGCGCCACTTGCTGACTCACCACACCACTTGCTCACTCACCGCGCCACTTGCTGTCTCACCGCGCCACTTGCTGTCTCACCGCGCCACTTGCTGTCTCACCGCGCCACTTGCTGTCTCACCGCGCCACTTGCTGACTCACCGCGCCACTAGCTGACTCACCGCGCCACTTGCTGACTCACCGCACCACTTGCTCACTCACCGCGCCACTTGCTGTCTCACCGCGCCACTTGCTCACTCACCGCGCCACTTGCTGTCTCACCGCGCCACTTGCTGTCTCACCGCGCCACTTGCTCACTCACCGCGCCACTTGCTGACGAGCGTGGATGCAGAGACATTGAAAAAGGTGGTGCGACACTCCGTGGCCACCGCCTTGGCTAGCATCGTCTGTGCGTGTGAAGGGGTGTGGGGGTGAGGGGGGGTGGGATGGAGGAATGGGCGTGGCAACACAATGCGGAGGGTGTGGTGCGCTGATCCTCTAACCACCCCTTGGGGAGCGGCACTCTGTGGCCACTGCCTTGGCGAAAAGCGTGAGGGAGTGACACTAGTGGGGCAGGGCTTTACCTTGCCTGTTCCCGGAGGACCGAAGAGCAGAATGCCCTTCCATGGGGCGAGCAGACCTGTGAAGTACCTGGTAAAATAGGGCCAAAGGGGTGAAAAATGGGGAGGGGATGAAGGAAGGGCGGTGTGCAGTACGGTTTGATACTGTGCGTGCAATACTGTGGTTCGCTGGATAATGAGGATGCCCTTCCATGGGGCGAGCAGACCTGTGAAGTACCTGGTGCAGGGCCGGGAAATCGGGAGGGGACCAAGGGATGGGGGAAGGATGGTGTGCGGTACGGTTCGATACTGTGGTGTGGGGTACTGTGGTGTTGTGTGAGGGGTGAGTAGGTCCGTGATGCACCCTGGTGCAGGGAGTGGGAGGCGACAATAGGACGGGGTTAGAACCTACTGCGGGTACTTGATGGGCATGACCTTGAGCAGCTGCTTGTCACCGGGCATGCAACCACTCCAACTCACAGGCACAACACACACACACACACTCACAGGCACAACACACACACACACACTCACAGGCACAACACACACACACACACTCACAGGCACAACACACACACACACACTCACAGGCACAACACACACACACACACTCACAGGCACAACACACACACACACACTCACAGGCACAACACACACACACACACTCACAGGCACAACACACACACACACACTCACAGGCACAACACACACACACACACTCACAGGCACAACACACACACACACACTCACAGGCACAACACACACACACACACTCACAGGCACAACACACACACACACACTCACAGGCACAACACACACACACACACTCACAGGCACAACACACACACACACACTCACAGGCACAACACACACACACACACTCACAGGCACAACACACACACACACACTCACAGGCACAACACACACACACACACTCACAGGCACAACACACACACACACACTCACAGGCACAACACACACACACACACACTCACAGGCACAACACACACACACACACACTCACAGGCACAACACACACACACACACACTCACAGGCACAACACACACACACACACACTCACAGGCACAACACACACACACACACACTCACAGGCACAACACACACACACACACACTCACAGGCACAACACACACACACACACACTCACAGGCACAACACACACACACACACACTCACAGGCACAACACACACACACACACACTCACAGGCACAACACACACACACACACACTCACAGGCACAACACACACACACACACACTCACAGGCACAACACACACACACACACACACTCACAGGCACAACACACACACACACACACACTCACAGGCACAAACACACACACACACACACTCACAGGCACAACACACACACACACACACTCACAGGCACAACACACACACACACACTCACAGGCACAACACACACACACACACTCACAGGCACAACACACACACACACACACTCACAGGCACAACACACACACACACACACTCACAGGCACAACACACACACACACACACTCACAGGCACAACACACACACACACACACTCACAGGCACAACACACACACACACACACTCACAGGCACAACACACACACACACACACTCACAGGCACAACACACACACACACACACTCACAGGCACAACACACACACACACACACTCACAGGCACAACACACACACACACACACTCACAGGCACAACACACACACACACACACTCACAGGCACAACACACACACACACACTCACAGGCACAACACACACACACACACACTCACAGGCACAACACACACACACACACACTCACAGGCACAACACACACACACACACACTCACAGGCACAACACACACACACACACACTCACAGGCACAACACACACACACACTCACAGGCACAACACACACACACACACACTCACAGGCACAACACACACACACACACACTCACAGGCACAACACACACACACACACACACTCACAGGCACAACACACACACACACACACACTCACAGGCACAACACACACACACACACACACTCACAGGCACAACACACACACACACACTCACAGGCACAACACACACACACACACTCACAGGCACAACACACACACACACACTCACAGGCACAACACACACACACACACTCACAGGCACAACACACACACACACACTCACAGGCACAACACACACACACACACTCACAGGCACAACACACACACACACACTCACAGGCACAACACACACACACACACTCACAGGCACAACACACACACACACACTCACAGGCACAACACACACACACACACTCACAGGCACAACACACACACACACACTCACAGGCACAACACACACACACACACACTCACAGGCACAACACACACACACACACACTCACAGGCACAACACACACACACACACACTCACAGGCACAACACACACACACACACTCACAGGCACAACACACACACACACACTCACAGGCACAACACACACACACACACACTCACAGGCACAACACACACACACACACACTCACAGGCACAACACACACACACACACACACTCACAGGCACAACACACACACACACACACACTCACAGGCACAACACACACACACCACACACTCACAGGCACAACACACACACACACACTCACAGGCACAACACACACACACACACTCACAGGCACAACACACACACACACACTCACAGGCACAACACACACACACACACTCACAGGCACAACACACACACACACACTCACAGGCACAACACACACACACACACTCACAGGCACAACACACACACACACACTCACAGGCACAACACACACACACACACTCACAGGCACAACACACACACACACACTCACAGGCACAACACACACACACACACTCACAGGCACAACACACACACACACACTCACAGGCACAACACACACACACACACTCACAGGCACAACACACACACACACACTCACAGGCACAACACACACACACACACTCACAGGCACAACACACACACACACACTCACAGGCACAACACACACACACACACTCACAGGCACAACACACACACACACACTCACAGGCACAACACACACACACACACTCACAGGCACAACACACACACACACACTCACAGGCACAACACACACACACACACTCACAGGCACAACACACACACACACACACTCACAGGCACAACACACACACACACACTCACAGGCACAACACACACACACACACTCACAGGCACAACACACACACACACACTCACAGGCACAACACACACACACACACTCACAGGCACAACACACACACACACACTCACAGGCACAACACACACACACACACTCACAGGCACAACACACACACACACACTCACAGGCACAACACACACACACACACTCACAGGCACAACACACACACACACACTCACAGGCACAACACACACACACACACTCACAGGCACAACACACACACACACACTCACAGGCACAACACACACACACACACTCACAGGCACAACACACACACACACACTCACAGGCACAACACACACACACACACTCACAGGCACAACACACACACACACACTCACAGGCACAACACACACACACACACTCACAGGCACAACACACACACACACACTCACAGGCACAACACACACACACACACTCACAGGCACAACACACACACACACACTCACAGGCACAACACACACACACACACTCACAGGCACAACACACACACACACACTCACAGGCACAACACACACACACACACTCACAGGCACAACACACACACACACACTCACAGGCACAACACACACACACACACTCACAGGCACAACACACACACACACACTCACAGGCACAACACACACACACACACTCACAGGCACAACACACACACACACACTCACAGGCACAACACACACACACACACTCACAGGCACAACACACACACACACACTCACAGGCACAACACACACACACACACTCACAGGCACAACACACACACACACACTCACAGGCACAACACACACACACACACTCACAGGCACAACACACACACACACACTCACAGGCACAACACACACACACACACTCACAGGCACAACACACACACACACACTCACAGGCACAACACACACACACACACTCACAGGCACAACACACACACACACACTCACAGGCACAACACACACACACACACTCACAGGCACAACACACACACACACACTCACAGGCACAACACACACACACACACTCACAGGCACAACACACACACACACACTCACAGGCACAACACACACACACACACTCACAGGCACAACACACACACACACACTCACAGGCACAACACACACACACACACTCACAGGCACAACACACACACACACACTCACAGGCACAACACACACACACACACTCACAGGCACAACACACACACACACACTCACAGGCACAACACACACACACACACTCACAGGCACAACACACACACACACACTCACAGGCACAACACACACACACACACTCACAGGCACAACACACACACACACACTCACAGGCACAACACACACACACACTCACAGGCACACACACACACACTCACAGGCACAACACACACACACACACTCACAGGCACAACACACACACACACACTCACAGGCACAACACACACACACACACTCACAGGCACAACACACACACACACACTCACAGGCACAACACACACACACACACTCACAGGCACAACACACACACACACACTCACAGGCACAACACACACACACACACTCACAGGCACAACACACACACACACACTCACAGGCACAACACACACACACACACTCACAGGCACAACACACACACACACACTCACAGGCACAACACACACACACACACTCACAGGCACAACACACACACACACACTCACAGGCACAACACACACACACACACTCACAGGCACAACACACACACACACACTCACAGGCACAACACACACACACACACTCACAGGCACAACACACACACACACACTCACAGGCACAAC